GCCCACGAATATGTAACTGTGGTCAGCCAGCCGCCTTGTGCCCTCACTGGATATGCCTGTTGCCACCCCATGCCTGGGATCGGCCAACTGCCACCTGCAAGCCTGGGTCAGTCTGGTTGCTTTTTCCTGCATGACCCCTCTCTGCCAGAAGCTGACTCCGCCCCTCTTACCAATCTGGATGAATGGTTCATTGTTGTTGGACTTCGGTATAGTTTAATTTTCTCTCTGTTTTGGTTGCATTCTGGTTTTTAAATATTTGTTGTTCATAAACTTGGTTGTGCGAGGAGGTATGGTGTTTCTACTTATGCCTCCATCTTGGCCAAAAGTCTAGGAAGTCTTATTTTAAACTCTTCCCTAATATTCTAGAGACTCCAGATTTCAGATACTTCATACTTACTTCAAATCACTGTGTGATTTTTAACAGTTATGATTTTGATTTACATATTTTATGATATAAAATACAACAAAACTGGCCCTGGCTGGTGTGGCTCAGTGGATTGAGTGCCAGCCTGTGAAGCAAAGGGTTGCACATTTGATTCCCAGTCAGGGAATCAAATTCCCAGTGTCTTGGTTGGAGGCCAGATCCCCAGCTGGGGGCACGCAGGAGGCAACCATACTGATGTTTCTTTCCTTCTCTTTCTCTCTTCCTTCCCCTCTCTCTGGAAATAAATAAAATCTTTTCAAAAATACAGCAAAAATGGAGATCATAGAAAGCTAAAAAAAAATCCTACCAGACCAAGATTTTAAGAAAATCAATTTAGAACTTGCCTCTCAGTCCCTTCCTCAATTACAGAAAGCTTAGAAATTATTAAAAAATGAAAGAAAACGGAGTTTTAGGTTAGACAACACTATTGCACCACTGTTAATTTCCTGATTTTCAATCGTTGTACTCTGGTCATGTAAGAGAATGTCTTTGTGTTCTGGTAACATACTGTAAAGTATTTAAGGAGCAGCATGACTAAAAACACTCAGTTTTCTGAACTGTTCAAAATAATAAATGTATATGATTACAGAAAGAAAAAGATATATATATATATGAAGAAAGAGGAGGCTTAACTCTTTTAAAGCCTAAGATCAAAATAACTACATCAAATCTGTTCAGTTTCATGGTCTTGACTTTTAGATGTATTAACTGATAAAGTGGAGCTCTTAACTATACTTCATTTAGCAAGAAATTAATAGTGAACTGTACCTATAATCCAAGGCAAGGTGTCACTTTTAAGTAATTTTCTTTTGCTACAGGTTTAAAAAAAAAAACAAAAAACAAGGGTAGAGTGGAATGAACAGAAGGTAAGTACTAGCTTTTAAGCTCTTGATTTTAGAAGACTTTCTATTTAAGAGTCAAGTCATGGTTGAGTCTTTACAAAGTTAAAAAGATGACATTCTTGCTACACTTTTCTTTCCATTAAAAGAAAGAGTATTTAGGTTGGATTAAATCTACTGATTCCATATGGTAAAGTTATTAGCAAATAATTTTCTTCCTCCTAAGAAGCTGGGGAAAAATCTATAGAAACTTAGTGCTATGGTCCAGTAAGTATGATTCATTCACATTTTGGAATAAAGGAAAAAAATCAAAAGGTTACACTTTATGAATTATTTTAATTTATACAAAGCTATATCTGGCAAATGTCAGAATAAAAATCAACAAGATAGATAATCTAAGTATTAATATAATGATCTACAAAGATTAATACCATTTGAAGTTTATGATCCATCAATTTAAAAATTATTTTTTTATTTCCTTGAGTGTTATCTCTATGGCAGGGATTCAAAGCCATTATTTTCTTACTGAATTCTATATTCAAGAGGAGAAAGTTTTTATTTATCTAAATTCACAAAGAAAGCGTAAAAAGAAAAAAAACATTATTTCCCAATTCATTCCTGAGATATTTTGTTGGAAACCTCATCTTTATATCTAAGTACACAGGTAACCTTAAGATACTGTTGTTTACAGAAACATTAAATATGAGAAACATTCCAAAGGATTAACTAATGGAGACTAGGCTAGATCAATAAAATATAATACTATATAACTACTAAAATTATATTTTATTTAAAATGACTATAAAACTAAGTAAGAAATAATGAGATAAAAATAGTATGATAGTCCTGGGTGGGTAACTCGGTTGGAGTGTTGTCCTGATTAACCACAGTTGCAGGTTCAATTCCTGGTCAGGGCATATACAAGAATCAACTGATGAATGCATAAATAAATGGAACAACAAATCAATGTTTCTCTCTCTCCCTCCCTCTTGATTTAAAAAAATAATGTGATATCCTTGTAGAAAAAATGAAAAAGGAGACTTATGTATAAACAGAGTTAGAAAAGCTGGAAAGATATATACCATGCCAAATACCAATCTCTAAGTGGTAGAACTACAGATGATTTTGACTTTTTCTTTTCTTTTTTTAGTATTTTTAAATTTATTGATTTTAGAGAAAAAAGATGGGAGAGAGGAAACATTGATTTTGTTGTTCACTTAATTATGTATTCACTGGTTGATTCTTTTTTAAAAAATACTTTATTTACTTATTTTTAGAGAGGGGAAGGGAGGGAGAAAGAGAGAGAGATAAACATCAACGTGTGGTTTGCCTCTCACATGCCCCCCACTGGGGACCTGGCCTGCAACCCATGTGCCCTGACTGAGAATCAAACGGGCAACCCTTTTGTTCACAGGCTGTCACTCAATCCCCTGAGCCAAACCGGCCAGGGCTGAGTTTCTCTCTTTATGTTTCTTTCTTTTTAAAAAATCCCCACCCAAGGACATGCTCATTGATTTTAGAGAGAGGAGAATGGAGGAAGAGAAACATCGACGTGTGAGAAAGAAACACCGGTCAGTTGCCCCTTTCATGCACCTCAACTGGGGACCAAACCCCCAACCCAGGCATGTGCCCTGACAGTGAATAGAACCTGTGACCTTTCAGTTTACAGGACAATGCCCCAACAAATAGAGTTACACCAGCCAGTGCTCTTTATGTTTCTCTATATTTCTTATACTACCTGAACAACAAGAAGTGTGTGATATTTATGATTATAAATAGGCAAAGTCTGTTCACTCAAAAAACAGATACAAAGTCAAAATTAAAGTGGGCTGGGTGAATAGTACTATATAATTCAGGATGATAAAATCATATTGAGACATGAGAATCTTAAGGCATAGCTCCTAGGTCCCCTTGCTTCTGATTTTATCACAGCAGTTCTTGTTTAATCATTTAACATACTAGGTTCTCCAATGTTCTGTTTAACAACAAGGCAGCTTGTGTTTTTTTTAAACTGAAAACATTATACAGAGGACTATTTATTGATATAAAATGATGTTTTAAGTTGTTAACTAAGTAGGAAAATAACAAAACTTTATATGCCATGATCCAATAAAGAAAAATTAATTAAATTAAATTTTTATGAGGATTTTAGTTTATCTGTTTCTAGTATTTCTTAAATGGGCATGTTATTAAAATAAAAAAAAATTTTTTAGGAAACTTTAAAATCTTCAACTAAGAGACCTTAAATTGATGTACATCTCATTCCTGAACTTCAAAAAGTCATAGATCTAATTATATTCTATCAGGAAAAAAGGAGGTATTGTAATTAAAAACAACACTATCTAAAGAAACCTTTGATAGATAAGTCAATTTATGACTAACACATAAAACAACTAATGTAATATTAAGTTAAGCTACTTCATTTCTTTAAGAAAAGACTTAACCCCTAAAACTAATGACCCTGTGCCTCTATTAAAATAGTTAATCATGCAAAAGTACTTTTATCCTCAACATGCATGAAATATATGGGTAAGTGATGTTAGAGCTGAACCTAGCCCCTGCACAGAATTAAATGTTTTAAAATAAGCAATTCACCATATAGCATGAAACTTCTTAAAGAACAGAACTTCTTTTTATTCACATGCAATAATATATATTAGCATAAAGTCATAAAAAATTATATAGCAGATAAATCCCCAAAACTGCACTTACTAGCATCCACAATAAATTAAACCACTGAGAAAATGCTTTACTGAAGGAGACTTACACCATTTTTCATTCCACCCGCCGTATTATAAACTAATTTATCACAGAAAAAGGAATATGAAAGAACAAATATATATAGTTTCTGCCTTTGTCATCCACTGTTTTCCCCTTCATAGTAAGAAGAAGGACTAAGAGGAATCAATGGCCAGTTCAAAATAAAGCTTTTCAAAAATAAATTTCACGTTTCTCCACTTTATCCTGTACACTGAGACAGGTCAGAATATATTTTTCATGTGGCTTTTTAAAGTCTGATTCACAAAATAAAATGAATTACTTCTTTGAGAGGTGCTATAGCTAAATTTATACTTTTATAGTACATTAGTCAGGATACACATACTGGAAAATACACCAAGGCAACAAAACACACTCAGCTATTAACCAAACAAATCCTATGGCCTCCACTACCCTCCCCTCTGGCCTTTCTCTGCCAAAGTAGCCATGAAAATACTACTCAGGTAAGATTTTTTTTCTCATTTTCCTGCTGCTGTTTGTGATTATATTAAGACCACAAAGCAAAAATTATGGAAAAGGCTTTCCTATTAAGAATTCCCAAACTAAGAAATGTAGCCTGGCTACAATTTGGATATAGCTATAATCCTTATATAACAAAAATTAAGAAATTTATATTTTTCCTTTTTAAACAAATTTCTATTATTTTTTATTCCAAGGCCATTATTTCTTATAATTTGGTAAACTTTTAAAGCTTACCAAAAAGATCCTTGAAATCTTTCCTTTTTCTTATCTACGTATTTAAAATGATCTTTCACTTGATCATTAACACATCCCAAATTATATTCAAATAAATTTAAACCATATAACAAAGTTTAAAGTTAGTTGTCCCCTTTATGAAACAAAAAAGTACACACACACACACACACACACACACACACACACACACACCCCAGAAAACCAAAACTGAAGAATTTTTTTCTCAAAGATTGTCATACAAAAATAAGAGAATCTGCACTTACTCTTCACCCCTTTCTTCCCCTTTCGTTCCTTCTTGTACTGTTCCTTCAGTTTACTTATTAGCCCCTGGTCTACATCCCAAACCTCAGTAGTTGGGGAGAGGTCATCTTTATCTACATTCAGCATATTATTAAAAGAAAAAAAAATCAGCAGTTGGTAACACAAGCTGTTGGTATTAAACTGTTATAGCTTTATAAAACTGTAATAAAATTGTACTAAAAGCATATACTTAAAATACTTTAAAGGTGCAGTCTCAGTTTTTGTAATTACGACTCAAACTCCAAATGCTCATCATCTCATAAATTTCTAAACATTGATACTTAGAATAGTTGAATGGTATTTCATTTCTGTCAATCACAAATTTGAAGGTTATTCTTTTAATAACTGATACTCTTTCAAAGGACTGACATTAGAAATAGAATGTTATAAAAATAGATCACTGCATCTTTATAAAAACATTAATAAAAATTATTCAGCCAGCATCATAAAAGCAAATAAATGAATTACATGCGAACTACTCAAAAGTGCAAGCTGGAAAGGTCAGTGCCATTTTATTGATGAAAATGTTCATGCATCTTCTGTCACACTGATTCTGCATGCACCAGATAACTGTACTAATTAATGGAAGGCATTCTAGGCCAATAAATACATACACAAAGCTCCAAAATACAATGTCTCCAATACTCTCTACAAGTCATTCAGAGAATCACCACCTCTGACCCTCTCGAGCCACATGGTTCAACATTACCTTTTTTCATTGGTCTACAACTAAGATAAGCAAATAAACTGTCAAATTCCATTGAAGAATTTTATTTTAGAGGTGATTTTTTTTACAAGATAAAAACAGTGACAAGTATGGAGTAAAAATATACATTGCTGTGCATTTGCTAAAGATGACATACCAGTTATTTTTAGCAGAACATAACAAGCCTGTGTTTGTTTCAAATAAATACTTCTACCTGGAAAAAATTATCGTAAACTAGAAGAAAATAGCATAAAAAGCAGCAGAAAAATAGGTCAATTAGTATTATTTTGATTATTAAGAATTGCCCTCCCTCTACTAACTTTTAAAACAGCCATGTTATTTAGGGAGTTTAACATCCTGTTATGGAATAACAACTAGGAGTTTATATAACCCTGTTACTAAATAAAAATTACATTGAAATACATAGGCTAGGCCAATCAATAACACTAACAGAATAGTAGGATCTTAGGGAAAACATACTTACAAACAGTATGTCAACATACAAGTATGTTAAACTTTTAACAAATTATATTCTGGTTCACAAATCTTGTAAACTCTCTGGGCCTCACTAACTTACTCTGTATAGTGAACATATAAAAAGCCTTTTTTTCCTTAATGACTGCTATACATACTAAACTTAAAAAATTCGTGTATTTGAATGGCACATAGAAATCAAATTATTTACTGTACCTTGACTCTTTCTAACCACAATTGTTATCACTTTTCCCCTTATGGATATACCTATGTTCTTGGGTAGTGTTAATGTAAAAAGCTAAATCAAAAGCTTTAAGTGAATATCCCAACTTGAAATACTTGAAACTATTAATAGGTTATTCAAAACTGAAACTTTTATGTAATTTTGTCAAATCTGCATACTGTAATACTACTTGTAATACAGCTGTAATACTGATTTAAAAAGAAAATGCACTTTTCATGTACTCTAATAACTATGCTACATCAGCAATCCATATTAACTTATTAAATTCTTAAGAAAAACATAATCTAAGAACTTTGCCCTCATATTAATAAAGCTAATAATACTTTTTGTAAAAGTAGAAATGTTTAATTTTATTTTTCTATTAGTTGACATTTAGTATCATTTTGTATTAGTTTCGGATGTACAGCATAGTTTAGACAACCACATACTGTACCAAGTGTTCTCCCAGGAAACTGACAATATTTATAGTTATTACAATATTACTGACTACGTTCCCGATGCTGTATTTTACATCCCTCACCACGGTTATTTTATAACCACCAATTTGTACTTCTAAGATCCTTTACCCCTTTCACCTAATCCTCCAAACCCCGCTCCCCTCTGGCAACCACCACATAGGGTATACTTTAATGATAAAATTATATCTGATAGGACAGAAAAATTTAATAACATAGCCAAGCATTTTTTAAAAAAACTTGTGTTGAAAAAAAATAAAGCTGTGAATTGTTCTAACTAGAGTAGCAAAGGGTAGCACAGTGAAAAAGCAAAGAAATAAAAAAGAATAAGCTTAAAGACAAAAAATTATTACTTGCAAGACAACTGATGTCTAGAAAACAAAGGTAAACTTAAGCAGTGCAAAGAACAGATTGGTGAATGCATGTGTGCACAAACAACATCCTGAAACTTGCCTGGTAAGTAATAGCTGATTTCATATTGCTTATAAAAAATAGTTAAGAGCAAAAGGGAAGAGCCACCATAATCTTCTACATATTAATCCTGTTTTTAAAAAATCTACAGGAAAAAAAATACCAAGAAATGAGGTTGAAGTAGTTATGGCAACTTTTTTGTTTAAAAGAAAACACAAATATGCACAAAAAATTGACTCCTGACAACTCAAAACCACAAAAACATAAAATTCTATTATGGTAATTTTAATACCAAAGGAAAGGAATTATATGACTCTACTTAGTATAGCATAAATTTGTAACTAATGTTATTTTAGTCAAATATTCAGTGCTTTATCCACTGTATTTAAATAAAACATTAGCAAGATGGTCAATCCAAGACAGCAGCAGACTAGGTGGAAACTACCAAGACCAAACGGGAATTACAACTAAAATGTAGAGCAATCTACCTAAATAACCAACTGAAGATTAGCTGGAGAGAAGTCTTATAACCAAGGATTTACAGACGAAGCCACATAAAGACTGGTAGAAGGAATGAAGATGTGAAAAGGGCTGAACCACAGGCAGCAGCTAAGATTCTGGAAAAATACCTCAGATGCAAAGTTTCCCGAAGCAGTATGGTGTCTCAACCTCAAGCTGGGCTCCCCAGCCCAGAACAGCACTGGGAAGAGGTGCCTACATAACACCTAGATGTGAATATCAGCAGAGATTCTGTCCCCTGCCAGGGAGACATGGGAGTCCACTAGAGACACAGGGGCCCTCTTAAAGTGCCAACGAACAAAATCTGGTTTATACACACTCACCCTGGTCTCCGATGAAGGGAGGGTGAAGATTACTACAGTCACGTGAAGAAAGACTGAGGCTGTGGCTTGGGGAGAGAGCTGAAGAAACACCACCAGGATAACTGTGTTAAATCACTCTCCCACATTGAAGACACCATCATTCTTGGATGGAGCACGTTCCACCATGGGCATCAGCCTGGGAAAATCCAACAGCCCCACCCTCTGGACTCCCTGTTGCCCCACCCTGTGAAGCCTGCAACATGCTGAGGAATCACCTGCCTGGCTGGAGGTGCAGAGGACTGGACAGACTCTGAGGGTGTCAATGACTGAGTTGTATGGCTTTGTGGCGAGAGCCACTGCTCTCTCTTTCCCACGAACCTGACTGGTACCTCACCCTCACCAGGGATCTGCGGGCCCCACTTTCTAGGCTCCCAGCGGCCCAACCTTCCTGATTCCTAGTGGCTCCACTCTGCCAAGTCTGGGCAGAATAGGGGACAGCCTGAGAAGGACGACTCAGGTCACTAGCCCCATCCTCCCAACTCCTGGTGCCCCTGGCATGATGAGATTGGGCTTCTGGCAGAATGTGAGACAGACTGAGTGGTATGACTCTAGGGACAGGGCTATTTTCCCCTCGCACAATCGCCCACCACAGAGCCCTCCTTCCCGATGGCCAAATATTGGCCTGTCTGGGCCTGATAAACACTGCTGGCCTCATTCTAACGATGCTCTAAGACCCCACCCCACTGCAAAGGTGTGAAAGCACCCAGACGAACACAGCTAGATTTGGTATCCCCTGGGGTATTTACTGAGTGGCTTCAAACCCAGCACTGGCACTGAGTTTGAACCTGAATCAATCTGGTGATCATCATTTGCCCCCCAACCCTCCCTCCCCAATGACTCACTAAAAACCTACCTCATGCAACTCCAGTACCAACAAAAGTTCTTTCAGTTGGTTTATTAGGCCAACTGCAGGTAGAGGCAGGCCTTGGGGTGCCTTGGGTTTTTAGCTGAACTGACCCTGGGCCCAGTGCTAGTAAAAATCAGACTAGGTACACAGCCTGGTCATTCTCCTGAATACCCAGGCCCAGCAAGGCAGCCAAAAACTTTAGCTCATTTTGTAGCTCCAAACAGATTGCCAAAGACCAGTCACAAGTAGCATCTGACACTGGCCTGCAGCAGAATCCCTCCCAAGAGGCCACAGAGCCACCACACTCATTGGCCAGCTTCCAACAACATCAGAGGATAACAGTGTCAGAAGAGGCAAATCCAAAGGGAGAGTTGGCAGACAGCAGACCATGATGAGGCAAATTCTGCTTCATGTGGTTAGCACCTGCGCAGCAGCTCCTACAGTGTGGTCAGGGTTGATTCTCACCGTTAACAAGCCTGAGGGACAACCCCACACATCAAAGGGCCAACAGCAATCAAGACTCAATTACAATGAAGAGGGCCCACACAACCTCTACAAGGGACATTCCTGAACAGACAGGTTACAACTAATGAAACTGAGGCAATAGACACAATATTCCCAAATAAACAAAAGTCCTGAACCAATGACTTCACAAGTGAATTTTACCAAACATTCAGAGAAAAAGCAAATTTTACCAAACACCTATCTTTCTCAAACTACTGTAAAAAATTCAGGAGGGAAGAATCCCAAGCTCATTTTATGAGGCCAGCATTATCCTAATTCCAAAACCAGACAAAGACACCAAGAAAGAAAATAATAGGCTAACACAGCCCTGATGAACACAGGCTAAAATCATCACCAAAATATTAGCAAAATGAACAGAGCAATATATCAAAAAGATCACACAACAAGGTCAAGTGGGATTTATTCTGGGAATGCAAGGTTGGTGCAGATCAATAAATGTGATACACCACATAAACCAAAGTGAAGAATAAAAACCACATGATCATATTAATAAATGCAAAAAAAAGCATTTGATAAAATACAGTACCCATT